ATCAAAAAGAAACAAAAGTCAAGATATATAATCAAATAAGCACATTGAATCGTTGAATTTTGACAGTTTTCTGAACTGGTGATATCGACCAGATTTCCTGAACTTGGCAACAACATATAACATTCACTAATAAGGATTGACATTTCCATTCTTTTATGATGTTGAACATATGCCCAGACTGCATGTATACTCTGCGCTCTGTAAAAGTTTCAACAAATAAATTGTGAACAATGTTTTCTTTGTTGGATGTAATCTAATATAATAGAGAATCCAAGTCATATTCAGAGATTGCAACGTTACCACTAGTTCGATGAGTTTTATTGGTTCATTCGTAACATGTTCATTGGCTTGATTTACAAATGTTCCCATTTGCTTTTTTTGATTATCATAATTATAGGGCATAGCATCGTAAGAAAATCATTGAATCATCCGTCCTTTCATTTTCTTATTATGCTAATGAGTTTGAGAGTTATCAATAGAAGTACTTCTATTGAATTATTGGGATAAATTTATAAAAAAAAATTACAATGAATAAAACCATGTTGGCGAACTGTGTGTGTGTTTGTGTGAAATGATCGAAATAGCTGCTGTGCCAAAAATCCTTATAGTCATTTTGTCATCAGCAAGCAACATTACATTTTTTTTCGAGTTAAATTACTTTAGCTAATGTTTGGCCCGAATATGATACTCGACGTTGGGTCCAATGAATAGATTATGATAAGTTCATTGTGTGTGTTTAGCGGTCTATAAGAATCAAATCCATTATTTATGGAAAATTAAATCATGACATTTTGTACGCTTTAACGTGTTGAAGTTCAAAAGAAATTCATCAAGTAACAAGCAAATGGGCGCGGCGCAGTGTGTTTAGAAAATTGTGTACAAGCAATGTGAACGGTTTTTTAACTATCGAGTTGCTGAAATTTCCGAAAAGATTCTCATAATTAATTATGTTCATGCAAATGATTTATGAAAATCTTCACAACGAATAATATTGTCAAATTGATGAAGCTGATAATAGGAATTGTTCTAGCTCCCTTCATATCCTTTTTTCTATGACGACCATTTTCTATATTCCTTTGCCTTGTTGTTTAAAATAATTTGTTAAATGTTCTGTTGCATCGATGACGGATGAACCGTACAGAAGAGCAAAAAAAAAACATCGATTTTTCTCTTTAGATAAATGTGTGGATACCGCTGATATGGAACATAAAAAGCAGTTAGCTCATTTTACAAATTAATGACTAACACTTAATATAATTCAACTAAAAATTGAGGGTAACTTTCAATTGATTCTGCCGTCAAAACGTAAATTGTGCGTCATTGACCAGTCTCTTTTATTTCATTAAAGCAGTCCTTTTGAAATAAAACGGTTGAACGAAAGTCAGCAGATTCACAAAGTGAACGGAATACTTAAGCGATGTCTCTGTATGTATTTGTCTGAATATCTGAAAACCTGAAAATGAGACACAAAAAATAAAGCTATGCAATATTTGTTCGACCGCATTTGTTCCATCGCTTTTGTCGCTATTTTGAATACAAAGTAGATGTTCTCATTTCTGAATGCTCTGAAAAGCGTACCTTTTTAATGGCAGAGATACGTTGGTCACGCCGCTCTGCCCGTCCAATGAAGTTTACACAATTTATCGATTTAGCAACAATTTTTAATTCATTGGGGTCAATTGGTAGTAATTTTGGCCTCGTTGCTCAGGTCAAACCGATTTAAACTAATAAGAACAAATATTTTGGTAAATGGATAACGTCTGGCTGATCCATCGTTGCCATTATACACACACACACACTCCAATGTATATTTAATTGAATACATCTCATGCAAAATATCGCAGACACGTTTCGTACAATATTCACATGAGCCTTGTGAAATAATCATGACTGTGTCACGTGATATGAATTTATCACATAAGGAGGCATATTCAATCCACGTATTTGCATAAAAACACAGAAAATCAATTAGAATTTATGAAAAAAGACTGATAACTTTCTCATTTATCATTATGTTTTATGTTTTTACTTTATCAATTTTAATTGCTTTCGATGGAAGTTTTTTTTTATCGAAAGTATAATTTATTTTGTTGAAAATATGAAGAAAAATTGAGATGAAAACCACAATGATTAAGATGTCACAGCATGATTCATTTATAACAGTTAAAGTTGTTGATGCGCGTGCTTTCATCACGAAAATATCGAATTTGTACGTATTTTGCCACTTGAAGATTCAACAGCCATGTCGAAAGGGGGTGACGAATTCAAATACATTTTATCATTTGCATTGTAACCATGAAAAAGTGAACTTATGTTGCTAAAATTCCATCTACAATAATTCGACTCGATTCGTTACCGCATTGCTTTCAGGAAAAAAACCATTTTCTTGATAAAGAAACCATTTTTTTTTTTGAATTACCGAGACAGGCGACTGTCACATTGATTTTTTTCTCAAATATTGTGAACGCATTATATTTTATAGTATTGTTTTACTTTCTTCGGCAAAAGTAATAATAATATTTCTTTACGGTATAAAAGTCAACTCAACTAGAAATAAAATTATAAAATATAGGTATAATAATAAAGCAACAGTTTGATGCAATACTTCGGTAATGGCAAGCAAATTTATTTAAGTTTTGCACACGAATGGTATTTCATAATTGCGATACGTTACGGGGAATACTAAATATAATCTAATTTGCTCAAAGTCATTTTATGAGTATTGCTTTTAGCGTGAACAGTCGTCGTTGCGTTGATTTGTATCACTGATAACACAATATGAACGTCATTTAATCCCAGTTTGGTGAAACTAAACATGACCCACTTACGTTTAACCGTCATTTAAGGTTGGATTTCGAAATTAGTATTACACACGCGTTAACAAATTACCATTTGCACAGGGAATTACAATTCAAAGCATATCTTTAATTATTTTATGTTATGCACGTTTACTGATTTGACCAGTGTGCATACTTTAGTGCAAAGTGTATTGAAAGCATTTTCCTTTTTTTTTCTTCAAAGAAAATCACAAAATGTGAACAATTGACTAATAATTTCATGTTATGTCTAAAGTTTCTCAGATCAACGGACCGAAATTTCGAGACGTAGACCAATTGTTCGTTTGTTTTTCATAATTTTTTTTTTCATTTGTTGTTTGTTTTTCTCAAAATATCAAATGTAATCCGTTAACGTAAGCTTTATCAAAGTGCTTGCAAAGATTCCGAAATAAAGGCGAACTTTTTTTTGAAAACAATATTAAAGTCAAGAAACTGCAGAGGCGCAAAACAGAAGAAAATACATCCCTTCTCTTTGTATTCAACTCAACTTTTGCTTTCTATTTCAAAGTCAAGTCTAATGTGCTTGTTCTGTGCTCATCGAGTGATATGAAGGCGCCGATTGTTTGTGTTAAATGAAAACAAACCGTTTTGATTTAACTAGTAAGACCCACGTATGTTTTCGGATGTGTTTTTTTGCACAAATTCAATGAAGCTGAAATGATAGCGATTGGTGCATATTCAAAAATTACGTCTTCTCTGGGGGCTTTTTTATGGTCTTGTTTACTAGAAAACCCTCAGTAAGAGAGAAATCTATATATATCACAAGTATTATTTTTTTCATTCTCTATCTATTTGCGAACATAATTCTGTGCCATGTATTTCATGTTATCTTCGAATCTCTTTGCTAGCTCAATGATTCCAAATACAATAATAAATAGATTTCTCAATTATTGAATTTTGCCATTTGTCCGATTCCGCTTACACAATTTTCTATTTCCGATTCTTTTCTCTTCGATGTGTCTCGGTTTCTGTTTTTTTTTCGCCAATCGTTTGTGTTTCTTTGTCATATGCTTTGATTTTCTCTCCCCACGTTTTTAGTGATAACAAAAAAAAATGTTCGAATAATCCTTAGTTTATAAAAAAAAATATACCAAGAGTATTAGTGCCGAATGACATGGTTTATAAAAAAAAACAAAGGCAACCGCATGAAATACGATTCCTTATAACCAAAATAAAATCACAATCTACATATTGAATTTTGTGGGGAAAAAAGCATATTCTTTAGGTGCCAAAAAAAAATGAACGACAATGGAAAAATATAAGAAAAGCATTGTTCAATTAACGGTTAACAGAGAGAACAGAAAAATGATCAGTTTTTCTATAGCTTGCCATTGAGTGGGAAAAATAAAGACACGCTTGTTATAACCATTATTATTATTGTTATTATTGTTCAATGGTATAAATTTTCGAACAGGAAAACAGAACGGAAATTAAGTCCAATGTAAAAGCAGTTTTCCTGTTTTTTTCTCTCTCAGCAATTCTACTCTTTTCTCATTTTCGTTTATCGCCCGAATTGAATGGCTCTCTGTCTCTACTTTATCCATTTTTCTATTATTGGACAAGTGAAAATTGTGCTCATTCCTTATGATATTCTCTCGATTCGGTCCATCGGTAGGTTTTTTTTTTATTTTGAATTGTATCACAAAGACCATAAAATATGGCACTGATACCATTGATAAATACAATATCGATACATAGACATGGAAAAACGTGCACTCTCGATGTTCTCTATTATTATCAATGCACTATTTTTGGACGATTTCATATGTACCATGTGCGCAGGTGTTATAATGTAAGACCTACTGAATGAGTTTTATCTCAGTCGAGTAATTGAAATGTGTATGAGATATTTTAATGAGAGATATATTTGGACTCGACACCGATAGTCAAGTGTTCAATTTGGTTGGTTCCAATTTCTTTTTCGGTGTGAATCGAATGCTTAAAATATTTAATGCCCTAAATGTATTTCGGCCAAATCAATTATCTCATAATCATAAACTGAAAGTGGTCAAGCTATCATTTTTAAAAATTGATCACTGTTATTACGCCATTTGCATATGCAAAATAGAAAATTTGATAATAACTAAAAGACTTTAATTAAATCTTGAGCGATAATTGAATTAATTTTATTTATTTTTTTATTTCTATTCACTATTTCTACAGGTTCAAATGGATGGTCATTGTTTTGTGTCTGCGCTATTTTACGCGCTTATCGGATTCGATGCGTTTATGTCAAAGCCAATGCTTTTGTATGCTCTATCATTATCATCATCGACGACATCGCTGACATCATCATTGCTTGATCCATTATCACCAGTTACATCAATTGTGGACGAACAACAGCATACAGAGAAATCAACCAATAATGGCAATAAAAATAAATCCAATAATAATATAATTGGTAGAAATGCAAATAGCAATAGCATACTAACGTCAAAACCAAAATCAATGTGCAAATTATCCGAATGGAAATGCTCGAATGGAAGCTGCATACCATTATCAAAGTACTGCAATGGCATTGCAGATTGTAACGATAAAAGTGACGAACCAAGCGAATGTAGCGGTAAGTAAGACAAAATCCATCTACAACTGAAGAGAAACCACAGCTGAATCATTCACATTCTCAAATGCAGATTCGTGAATTCTTTTTTTTGTCCATTGAAATAAGTTTTTTTCTTTATTTTATCGATTAACATCAAAAATATTGATGGAAGTCAAATTTTATTTAAATTGAAACCGATGAATTTCATTACATCGAGTAGAATTTCGGTAGTTTTCTATCATCGCTCTTGTGAGGGGTTGTAATAATAGTTAAATAAACTCGATTTCCGAGAATTTGGTAATCAATTACTAAACTTACTCAACGAATTTTCACGTGGAGTGAAAATGGTAGTAAATTTTTTAAAAAAGGAAATCATCCAAAATTATCAAACCATCAAGGTTCCCAAAAATTGTATTCTTCTAAATGTTGTATGAAGCGTACAGACATCAAGTTGACGTTAAGTACTTCACACTCGAACACACTGATACGAAGCAGACAATTTTTTTTGTTCGTATGTGCACTTATTGTCATCAAAAAGCACCGAGGACTGAAAGGGCTGAAGTTAAAAAAAAAGTATATCCAGTTTGTGTCACATGATGGCATCAGTATATCGATAGAAAGACGCTTGATATCGAAGTGCAGTGAGGCAGAAGAATTGATTTTCCAAAACATTACTCTTTTCTCTTTTTTTATCATGCTTTTTCACATTTCTTGTGTATCGTAAACATTTGCCTTTTCCTCTCTCTCTCGTTCTCTCTTTCCCTCTCCATTTCACCATTCAATGGCCTTAACATATTCGGTCGCTATTGCTTGAAGTCGATGCTTATGGTTTTATATAAATATTAACTTGGGACACATGTTATTTGTATTTTCGAAACTCAAACAGTCTTAAGAAAACTTTCACTTTATTGACAATTCAACGAGTACATATGTCAGTTAAACTGAAAATGTTGATTTCCAACCGATTTATTACTGCAATTCGGTCTAATCCATTCCATTGTTTTGCACACGGTAAAGTTAATAGTCGTGGATGTGTTATGTTTTTCTAAAAGACAAAAAAAAAATGCGTACAACATTTTCCAATGTCTGTTTCGGATATATATACTAAATTCTGGGTGTCTGATGTAGAAACAATGAAACTGACATCTAGATGCTCGGCAATTAGCTCAAGTTATTTATTTATCTATGTTTTGGTGCTACACAAGCTCATCACAAGCTATAAATAAACAAACTCTATCGTTTTGCCACCGAAAAGTGCACAGACAGATATTCGGGCAAATATTATAAGTGGCGTAAGAATTATAAATTAATGGAAAAGAAGAGAAGAAAAGATATATTCTTATTTCTTAAGATTTCTTACACTTCAGAGCGATAGGGAGAGAGTGAGAGAGAGAGAAAAATATATCCAAACGTAAGAAACTTGTGCTTTAATTGCATTCTAATGTATTTATATAATTCGAAAAACAACGCTTTATTTTGGATTCGTTCATTCGCCTTTTTGGGTGGATTTTTTTTTTCGCTTTGTTTTACGTCAGAATATATGACATGTAAATGAAGAAACGATGCATGAGCTAAGGAACGTTGAGTTGTTTTTGTCTGACAGTGTCTGCGCTTGTATATGGCCTGATTGGTGCTTTGTTTTATAAATGTTGAATCTCTTAAACTGTAAGAAAGTTTAAGCGGAAAGGAGAAAATGATAATCAAAAGTTTTCATTTAATCAAATCAAACTGTCTTCCTTTTTACATTGTGAAACTTGTTGTATCGCATTTTACTTGCACGTGTAAGTGCATTTTTCAAGTTTTCTACTAGATTGCCGCCAGTCTGCCTGTCGCTATATCATTCAGGCATTCAACTGAACTGAACTTTTATCTCTTTTCCTCTGACACTTTTAAGCGGCACTCTTTTTTTTATTCTTCTTTCATTCGGTGTGTGCATGCTGACTTCTTCATTGTGTTGTCAGCAAAGTGACAAACGTTTTCAACATTGTCCAATCTACATCAGAGTGATTTTCAACATCCCCATTTCACTCATTTTCATGGCATTACTTTTCGATTCGACCATTTCTGCCTAATTGAAGTTTATTTTATATCAAAGACGAAAACTATAAAACTGTGAGACAAATCAAGTTGCTGCAAGTTTTTTTTTAATTTCAATTATTTTTAATATGAACCAGATTAAGACACACACACACACACAATTGTGAATTTGTTATAAAAGAAACTCTCGTAGATGATGGTAGATAACGAATAAACACCAAAATTCAAGTGTATGTATGTGTGTGTGTGTGTGAACTTTAAACAAATGAAATCGTTAAATTGGATGGCATACAAATAAAGGCACTTCAACAATAACAATAATAACCATTTCTACTTGAAAAAATTGTCACGTAGAAAAAGTTACACTCCTTTTTACCACTTTTGATAGCATTCCCACCAATATTGGTACTAGGCACTTGACAATTTCCTTATCACATCCCATTTTGTGATCCTGTTCGGGACAAACTAAGGATTACATATTAGTCTAGATTTTCTTGAAAAAAATATATATTTTTTTATCAATCACAGGCACATCTCGAAAACTTTGGCACCTACCAGTTTTCTATAGTTCTATGAACTTGAAACATACTAGAAACATTATGAACATTTTCACCGACAGTTTTCAAGATTTATTCAGCCATTGAGAGCAACGGCGAAGTGTTTGAAGTCACATATTATGTTGTTTGTTCTTTGAATATATTATACTAAGTTAGTTATAACTTCAACAAAAATCGCACGTTACATAAAGAGTTCCTATATAGTTTTGAAACTATCTTCCTCCGTCTTACATTTGTGATATTTTGGGCGAAATAAATGGTGTATGAGTGTAACTGATTAGTGATAGCAAGAGGACTTATATTAAAATGGGTGCTAGCGAGTGCATGGACTTGCTTTTATTTCGTTATCTATCGAGATTTCATATTCTTCTGCAATACATAAATTTTTAGAAAATTCAATTCATTAGAAGATATGTTTTGTGCATAAAATTATTTGATTGAAGCAATAATTTAATGTTTAACTTTGGCTATGTCATTAAATTTTCGTTAATGCAAACCATTTAAAATAATATTTCATACTAAAAAGTAGCAATAACATGTTTTGACTGTTTATATACAATAGAGAAATAAAAAAAAACTTTTTTACAACTCAACTATAGAACGAAAATTCGAGCAGAATTTTTCGAGCTTAGGAATATATAACCCAACATAACGTATAATAACTCGTACATTAAAAAGTTTAAAATGGTTTGAAAAAAAGTTAGAACAAACTCTTTGCCGAAATTAACGCATATTCCGGATAAACGTGCAAAAAATGCGTCAGTCCATTAATTTGGGACAATCTACTAATTTGGGTGCCAAAAAATCAGAGGTAAAAAAAATAATAATTGTTTTGTTGTTCTGCTTTTCGCGCTTCGGGTGCAGTGCGCATTACACAGAATTGATAATTTCGTGCGGTTTAAAATTTTTCTTAAAAACACCCTGCAACATACTATTCAAGCTGTACCAAAGTATGTTAAACAAACTAAAACTGTTTTCGAAACCATAAAATAATAGACGAGTCAAAAATGAATAGTATATAGCAAAATTCCGCAACCAAAAATTGAAAACCAAACAAAAGAAACAAAAATGCCAGAAATATGACGAGAAGAAAAATGTTGGAAAAAAATCGATATGCAGTGTGTTTGTGACACGTCTCTCTCCAACAATCTACGTCGAAGTTCGAATAAGTAGAAAAGTAAGCATAAAGTAAAGGCCAACTAATCAAAGACTTGGATTGCTGTTTTATTCTTGAGAGAGAAAGGCGCTGATAATATTTTTTTTATTCACGCTAATTCCAGACATTTACTTGCGATGACGCAAAACATTCCATAAAGTTATGGTATATATAATAACTTCTCATCGCATGGAATAAGTAGTTAGGAATTGCATAAAAATAAATTCAAAGGACGAGTAAAAATCAACGCATATCGAATACTGAATTCACTCTTTCTGAAACTTTTATTGTGGCACATTTCACTTGCTTTATGTCTTAAAATTTCAATCTTTATTTGTTAATCATAAGATTGTGCAATACACAAAATTTATTACAGTAATTATTTATGTGGTCACTTTTTTTCAGTCGAAAAAGAAGAAACATTAAAAACATTTTCACTTTGATTTTGCGAACTTTTTTTCACTTGCCAAGATTAGCTTTCGTCTAGATTCTCATTTATATTGAATAACTTTATTTTATAAGCACAACAAAAAATCATTGAAGTCATTTTTAGTATGATGAAATTTTAAGATTTTAAAATTTAACGATTCCGATTTAGTGCTTTGAACATTTAATATGCAATATGTTCTGAGTTTTTATTTCTTTCTCGAAATATGTCTAAAATTCATTCGTATTTTCTGAACGAAATAAGACATCATCATTTTGACACTGTTGGCCTAGTTGTTTGAATACCGAATAACATTTTGTGACATCGACCGGCCCAGTTTTTCCCTTATCTTTCTCTCTTTTTTGTATCAATTGAAAATAATTGGTGCTGGCAAGTTATTATACACATAAAATTGCACAAAATCTAGTATTTGGGTTTGCGTCATGTACTGTGACAATTAAATACGTAGATTGGTAAATGTTTTGGAATTTAGAGTTGAATTTGCGAATGTTTGTATCAAAATGTGCTTTCTTTTCTGGATGAAATTTATATATCTTTTTTCCAACTTGCCGCTGACACAATCGTGCATTTTATTTTTTTTTATATTGCCAAGAAATAAATATCTTTACGGCGTCTTCTGACAATTTGAAAATGTTAGACAGCTCGATCCAACACAGCAGAAAAATGGAAAAAGATTGGAAATGTACGTGAATGTGAAAATGACAAGCATACGAAAAGTAAAAAGAAAGCGAAAAAAAGATGAAATGTCAGTTAAATGATAATAATATTTGATTGACAGACATCAATTATGGGAAAAAATATACGAAAGCAATCACGTATTTAA